ACTACCTGTAATCACCCCTTTGACGTCATTTGTGCAAGGTCAAATTATTGATCTAATTTTGTTTTTTTGGTCACAGCGCAGTCACATGCTGTGAAGAAAAGTCTTGGCATTTTTAGGGGAAAGTTCAGACACTGCGTATAAAGCTTTTCAATTTGCAAAAGACATGTAATTTGGGTTTGCTGTCTTACCTATGTAGTTTGTGAAACTGAATGCAAAACTGTTGAAGATTTAGGTATTGCCCTCCCTCAAATTCTATTCTTATATTTGACCTAAGCAACACCATTTCCTTTCTTCTTTGTTCTAATTACCCAGTCCTTCGCTCAGTCTCACAGCTTTTCCTTCTGACCTCTCCCTCGTGTCTCTCTGTCTTCCTATGGTTTGTCATGTTTCCTGACTGCTCACAAAGGAAGACCAATAAATCAGAAGGCTGACAGTCAAAAGACTTGGGTTTTTATCATCTCAGCTCTGTCACTAACTAGCTGTGTAACTTTGGGCAAATCTTTTACCTTCCTTACCAAAGCTTCCTTCATCAAAACAAAGTGCAGTAGGAAATAGATGACCTCCAATGTACTCTTCAACTCTAACATTTGTGATTCTAACAAACATGGAATATAATTATTATAATAACAGCAGTGAGAGATATAATGAAAGGAAAGACGTCCCCAAACATGAAGTGCTTTTGTGGTAATGCTGCGGTGATGTCATGAATGCTGCAAAATACTCCACGTCAATAAGTTTTCTTTTATTTTTATGAAGTGCTTTTCTCTTCATCACTCCCCAAAACTGTTTGTCAATGAAGCAGTTTACTGTTTCTTTTCTTTTTTTTTAATCATCTTGCATATTCAGATTTAGGGTTGCTCTAGCCACTAATAATATATGCCAAAATTTCTTGTGGAAGAATATTCTGAGATCGAGTTGGTTTTGCAGTTACTGAATCTGCATGGGCGGAGTCCAAGATAGATTTGCTTTATACTAGACTATTCTGCATCAAATCATAAAAGAGTTAAGGGAGACCATCCAATAATCAAACATTTAGCTGGACATGGCTTACTGCAAAGAAACTGGGATTTAGGAGCTGAGGCATAACACTTTCTGTTAATATTCTTAACAGAAACTGTTATATAATTTCTAGCCAAGAAAGAGAATAATAGTAGAATCTGTGAAAAGCAAAAGATATTTTAGGAAAGTTATTAAACAAAAGCAATAGGGGCAATTAGATTTGTGATCAAGAATGTTGTATTTGACAAAAGGAACTCCTGGCTAATGAGATTTAGGCCTGGATGATTAGGAAAAGAAAAAAAGTCAGAAGTCAGTTAAGGGAGGGAGGAGAGAAGTAATGAACATAGTTTTTCACTTTGAGGTGGTAGCAAAAATTTTTTGTGGACATGCCTGAAGGAAATTGAAAATGTAGCCTGTAATATTTAGGGGTCATTTGTGCAGAAATTATAGCTGAAGCCTTATTCGTAGATCTTGAGAGAGAGAGAGAGGGAAAGACAGAGAAATTGAGAATAGAGTACAAATTTTCAGACTTTAGTGGAAATGAGAATATCTTGGAGTTTCTGTACCTGACCTCAGAGGTTCTAATTCAGGGCTTAGAGTAGGGACCAAAAATCCATATATTCCACTAACACCCCAGTGATATTGATGCAGGTGGTCTGTACCCCATTCTTTAGGACAGTGGTTCTCAAACTTTAACATGCATCAGAATCACCTGGTGCGTTTGTTAAACCACAGATGGCTGGGCCTCACTCCCAGGGTTTCTAATGCAACAGGTAAGTCTGGTGTGGGGCCAGATAATTTGCCGTTCTAACAAGGCAGATGCTGATGCTCTAGTGTGGGAACCACACTTTGAGAACCCCTGCTTAAGAAAATAATAAAAAAGATGAGCAAAACTGAAAACATCACATTTCCTGATTTCAAATTATATTACAAGGCTATCATAATCAAAATAGTAATGGTACTGTTATAAAAACAGATACTTAGACCAATAAAACAGAAAAGAGAACCCAGAAATAAACCCATGTGTATGAAGAAAATTTCTTGTAAACAACAAGTTCAATTTTTAAGTCCACTCTCCCAATCTTTGTCTTTTAATCGTTATAATTAGATAATTTATGTTTAATTATTGATATGTTCAGTGTAAGTCTGCCATTTTATTTTTATTTTCTGTTTTTTTATTTCCTCTGATTTCATTTCTCCATTTACATTTTCCTGTATTCCTCGGGGCTACCTGAACATTTTTTAGAATTCTATTTTGATTTATCTATAGTGTTTTAAGCGTATCTTATTGTATATATTTTTTAAATTTTTGCTCAAGGTATTATATATACATATATTATCCAAGTTTACTGGTGTTGACAATTTACCAATTTAAGTGAAGTATAGAAGCATAACCTCCCTCTGTGTTCATTTCCTTTTTAATGTAATTATCTTATTTTCTCTATTTACAATTTGAATCATATCACATGGTGTTATAATTTTTGCTTCAACTAGCAATCATAATTCAGAAAACTCAAGAGAAGAATGAAAGTCTATTGTATTTACCCATATTTTTGCTCTTCATGTGTTCTTTCTTCTCATCTGATATTTCAAGATTTCTACTTTTATAATTCTCTTTCTATTTAGAGAATTTCCTTAGGATATTCTTTTAGAATAGTTCTGCTTGTGACAAATTCTCTTAGCTTTCTTTCATATGAGAATGTTTCAATTTTCCTTTTCTTCTAAAAGGATAGTTGCATTGAATATAGAATTCTGGGTTGACAGTTCTTTTCTTTCAGTACTTTAAAAATAGTGTGACAAGTCCTTCTGTCTCTCATGGTTTCTCATGAGAAATTTGTTGTCATTACAGTGTTTTTACCCTTATAAGCAATGCATTGTTTCTATCTTTCCATTTTCAAGATTTCTTTTCTTTTCCTTTCTTTTTCTCTTTCTTTCTTTTTCTTTCTTTCTTTCTTTCTTTCTTTCTTTCTTTCTTTCTTTCTTTCTTTCTTTCTTTCTTTCTTTCTTTCTTTCTTTCTTTCTTTCTTTCTTTCTTTCTTTCTTTCTTTCTTTCTTTCTTTCTTTCTTTCTTTCTTTCTTTCTTTCTTTCTTTCTTTCTCTTTCTCTCTCTCTCTCTCTTTCTCTCCCTCCCTCCCTCTCTCCCTCCCTTCCTTCCTTTCCTCCTTTGGCTTTAATTTTTAAAAGTTTAAAATTTAGGATTCTGTGTGGAGTTCTTTAGGTATGCCCTGTTTGGGATTTACTCTACTTAATTTGTAGGTTTATGCCTCTTACCAAATTTAAGAAAATTTTAGCCATTATTTCTTTGAATATTTTTTTTCAGCCTTACCCTCTTTCTCATCTTTTTTAGGGACTTGGTGACAAATCATATGTTATATCATAGTCTTATGGGTTCCTGAGGTTCCATTCACATTTTTCCCCCACCTTATTTTTTTCTCCGTTGTTTGGATTGGGCAATTTCTATTGTTCTACCTTCAAATTCAGATTTTTGTTTCCTCTCCATTCTGCTATTGAGTCCATCCATTAAGTTTTATTTATTTATTTTTTTTACTTTACTATTTGTTAGCTTTAAAATTTCTCTTTTGTTCTTTTAAATATACTTTCTTTTCTAAGACTTTGAGTTTTTGCTGAGACATTTATTTTTTTAAGTTATTTCCAGCAAGTTTGTAATTGCTTGTTGAAGCATTTTAATGACGTCTGCTTTAACATTTGAGTCATCATGGTGTTGGTGTCTTTTGATTGTTGTTTTTTTCTTATTTAGTTTGAGATCTTCCTGGTTCTTGGTATGACAAGTGATTTTTCAATTGAAACCTGGACATTTTGAGAATTTCGTTATATGACTCTAGATCTTATTTCAAATCTGGTGTTTTAGCAGATCTTTTCTGACATCTCTCTGATGAGTGAAGGTGATCTTTATACCGCCAGTTGGAGGTAGAAGTCTAGATTTTCATTGATGCCTGGGGGAGGAGAGGCTTTCTTTTACTGCTGGGTAGTATGGTAGTTTAAGCCTCCACTAGATCACTGTTGATTCCACCCTAGCTTGGAGGAAGAGGCACCTCATTGCTACTCCCCACAAGTCTTCCACTGACACAACGGCAGGTGATGAGAGACATGGCCTGTTATCACTGATTGATGGTGAAAGTCCTGACTTTCCATTAGACCTCTGCTGACACCACCCCTGCGAGGCAGGAGAAAGGTGCCTTGTTTCCAATGGTGTGTGTAGAAGTCTGGGTTCTTCACATGACTTCTATCTTAACTGCTGTGCTTTCTTATCTACATATTTCAGGGTCTTTTTAAATTTCACATATCATAGCCAGAGTTTTTATTGTACTTAGTGGGAGGAATAGGCAAATGTATGTATGCTGCATTTTTGTGGAAGCTGAAGTCTGAGAGCTTTCTAATTCATTTTTTTTTTGGATAGGTAGTATAGTTATCTAATACAAACCCCAACAAAGTATAACAAATTGTACTGTGATAAATCTCTTTCTTGTTCATCTTTTGCCCTATTTTTACTCTGCCCTCACCCAGTTTCTTTTTTATCCCTTCAGAATTTATTTATGCACACATAGGAAAATGATAAACAAAGATTATTTTTTACTCCTTTTTTATATAAAAGGTGGCCTAATATATACATTGTACTGATCTTTCCCCCCTTTCCCTCCATTTAGCTATATATTTTAGAGACTTTTTTATATCAAGGACATAAAGAGCATTATTGATCTTTTTTACAGTTCCACAGATTTCTACTAAATGAATAGAAGACAGTATTTTAATGTTTTCTTTTTCTAAGTTGTGTTGCTAAATTGTAAATTGCTTCAGAAGTATTAGTATCTTTTTAAAATATATAATCTATCAGTGTTTATTCACAGTTACACTGTCAGATGTTTGGGGCAACGTGAAGCCAGCTCATGTGTTGTTTCTTCTAGAATTGTTTACATGTAATATGTTTATTTTAAAGATAAAGAACATTTGTCATATTCTTTTTTGTATATTGTGTTTTCCAGATGATCTGAGGGATTCCATGATTCTGACATTGTAGGATAAAAAGAAACATGCTAAGTCTAATTATAGGAGTTACAGAAGTGTTTTTAATTGCAAGAAAGAGCTATGCAAGAACCTTTTGGATGTTCTCTCCATTTGCAGAAGAACGCCAGTGAACATAGGCTTCCCTAGATTCCTGCCCTTATACAGTACTTCTCTCTTTCCTGTTCCAAGAGCATGTCTCATGAAGCCTGCAGTCTGGTACAGTCCATCTAAAACAATACTGTGATTTGTCTGAGGTTTTACACAAAAAATGTTTTACAAGATTTTCCAGCCCACATGAATTAGCCCAACTTAACCACCTGATGATAAGAAATTGGAAACTTTTGGTTGAAATACAGAAAAAGGAGTTCACTTGCCACAGATAAGAAAACTACAAAGAGAGGAACAAAAAGATGTTTTAAGAGTTTTGATTTGTTTTCAGAGAAGAGTTCCATTTCTAACTTTCTCAGTGTCACGCTCACAACCTTTACTGTAATTTCTGCATGTGAGGCTTAGCACAGAAACAAGATGTAACATTTTCTTCTTTTTCTACATGTAACCAAAAGGAGTTAATGTTATAAATGAGGTCACTAAATCAGAGTATTAAGATATGGTTTATTTTAATGCAGTCAAATTGTTAGGTCAAATGGCTAGTAGAGCGTATGATACAAAGTAGTCATTCAAAAAGGATTAGTAAATAAACATCAAGGAAATTAATCGAGCTTCTTTGAGAGTTTCAATTTAGATCTTTTGATTGACTTAAATGATGTGTCAAGACACTTGTTGTTGACATACATTCTTTTTTCGCTTTTTGGTTTTATTAATGAAATCAAGATTTTTGCTCAGAGAGAGTGGTCCTATCCCAACTCCGAGAAAAATCCTAATTAGTCTAAGACAGTTTGTTACTCTCATTTTCCTTCTAAACATTTGTTTTAGGAATGGGCCTGTGATATAATTGTGACCAGTGAAATACAAAAGGGAGTATTACTGGGTTTATTTTTGCAAAAGGTTTCTCCACATAAAAAGGAAACTTAAGGAAGAAACTCCAGGAAATATGGCAGCTATTTCATCTGAGCTCAATGAAGACAAAGCCAATCCTCTGAGGAGAAGAACTCAAATCCTCGATGATGTTATCGAGTCCCAAGTTTACTAACTCTGAAGTCTTGTTATGTATCATTTAAGTGACATAATAAATTTTCTGCATTGTTTCGGTTGTGATTTGTTTTCCTTTATTTGCAACCAAAAGTATCCTAACTGATACAATATTTTAATATGCTACATTTGAAAATAAAGAGCACTGATAATTCATTTGCAAAAGTACAGCGCACATTGGTCATATAGATTTGAACCAATAGCAGTTGAAGACTGTACTTAGTTTAGTAAGTTCTCTGAAGAAACGTGGATTTTGAACTAATGTAGAATTATTTGATCAATATAATGTCACAATTTCAGAGGTTATTTTTGATAATAAAAGACACTATTTAGATTATTTTTCAGTCCTCTGGATGTTCCTGAATTACTATGCATCTTTCCAAATAGCATAACTTACTTTGAAGAAAGTCTGAGATATGAACTCTCTTCATCAAGAAAAGACAGTTTTCATGAAATTTTGGGACTAAGTTTATGAAACCTTAGGTTAAACTGGAATTTCTGACTAGGTGATAAAACCCTGAGATATGTTTGAACCAATATGCTCTGTAAAAGTACATTTTCCTATGAATTTACAGAGCTCAAAACTGAATTATTTTTATTGTTGTAAACCTAAAATCAGAATTGAGTTCTGACCCACGAATACTTCTATAGTTTCCCAGAAGAGTTCAGTCTGTTAAATATCACCACTCGTATTGATTAATTATGGTTGATCAATGCACTAGGCATATAAAGGTGGCAACAACCCTTTCTAAGAAGTCTCCTTGGTTGAAATTCCAGTATATTACTTTTATGTCAATACACCTTTATCAATAGACTTGGGAATCTAACCTCCCTTGTGATTGAATTATGATTTACTTTTATAGGGGATTACTTTGAAAAGCTAAAATTGAGGAAGCAGTCGGCAAGTTCATGATTTTATTAAAGCAATAGACATTTGCATGGAGGGCCAAAGACAAGAAAAAATGCCCTTAGTCATATTTCTTACAAAATATAATTAACTTACAAGCACCTTATTGACATTGTGGGTGAAAAGTTTGTAAAATTTTTGGTAACAATAGAATGATAAATAAAATTAATTTTGCTGTTTCCATTATTAGTCATTGATTCTGTCTAAAAGTCACTTATATTTCCCTTATTCAACATATTGTTTGTATTCATTTATTTGAATACATATTTGTGTGTTTATAAATCACTTTAGCAGAATCATTCGTGATTCCAGTTTCTTTAACCCTGTTGTCCATCAATTTTTGTGTTCATCACTCAGACTTGAAGTTTTCAGGGATTTATGCATGTGAGGCTTTTCTAATTTAGGAATGTCTGCTGTATATTGACTTGGGGGAAGGTATAGTTTTTGTGTTACTACTAAAATATCTATGTTTTTGAATAGTTTTAAATAAAAATTTTTGTGTAGTATGTACATATACATAGATTTCAATTTTGAGAAATCTGGATTCTTCCTCTTTATTTTTGTTTTCTGGATCTCATACATGACTAAGACTTTGCAATATCATCTCATAGCAGATGCCACCTATGCTATTGTGATATAAAAAAAAAATACATATTTGGTCTTTATTCCTAGTTCCTGACACAGAACTCCTAAAACTCTTGAAAGTTCCTGAATGATAGGGGTGAGAGGTGCATCTTTTGTTATTTGTAATAAGCCCCTTTTAATATATCTGAATTTATGCTAATGAGGTGACAAAGGATGGAGGTTGGTCGACAGAGGAACAAACCACGCGATTAGGTTAGACTTTCAGCCCCATCTTGAGCTAATCGCCAATAGCCAATGATATAATCCACCATGCCTATAAAATGGAAACTTCATAAAAACCCTAAATGAAGGAGTTTGGAATGCTCCCATTTGCAAGGAGAGTGGCACACCCTAAACTCCACAGGGACAGAAGCCCCTGTACTCAGGGCCCTTCTGGACCTTGCCCTATGTATCTTTTCATTTGGCCGTTCATTTGTATCTTTTATAATAAATATATAAAATAAATTTATATAATAAATGATATCTTTTATAATAATAGTAAATAAACTGGTAATAAATAAAGTGTTTCCCCGAGTTTTGTGAGCCATTATAGCAAATTATTTAACTGAAAGAGGAGGTCATTGGAATCTTTGTTTTATAGCTAAGTCAGACAGAAGTGTGGGTAACAAGAGAGACCCAATACTTGTGACTGGCATTTAAAGTGGGGGTGCAGTCTTGTGAGAATGAGCCCTTAACCTGTCTGTACTAACTCCGAATGAATTAGAGTTAGAATGAATTAAATTGTATAATGTTCAGTGGTATTCAAAAAAATGGAGCTTTGCTTGGTGTGGAATACCCATGCATATGGTGTCAGCAGTGTTGCAATTAGAAAAAACGGGGTAGGGGTGTGTGTGTGTGTGTGTGTGTGTGTGTGTGTGTGTTGTGTGTGTGTGTGTGTGTATCTGACACTGTCACCTGAACATCCTATTAGTACCACCAATACAATATTTCATCATTTGCATTCCTCTGATATTTGTTTTTTTCAACATCCTTTTCATGGTGACTCATATTTGAAAATTCAGAGCCAATTTTTTATTTCATCTTCTTTGCCTCCAATGTATAATCTCCTGCCAAAAAGCATTTTCTGCTTCAGGTGGTATTTGAAATCAATCAAACACCAAGTATTTATTAAGCCCCTCCATATGTTCACTACTGTGCTAGGTATTTTGGGTGACACACAGGAGACATTAAACTTGATGCAACAAAAGCACAGAGGATCACACCCAGGTGGCCTCACCAATTTCCTTGCATGCCTGAATAAAAAGTACTAGAATTAATTTGTTCAGCAAGTAGTCACCAGATGCATAAATATGACACCATTTCTATTGAGTAGGGCTGATAAATTAGATGACTAATTTGTGGGAGAAATATGTTGCAAGAATCTCAGCGCTTTGAGAATGAGCACAAGAAACCACAGATCAAAATAACCCACACAGGCTGATCCATTATTATATGACGTATGTACTCATTCCACAGTAGAGTCTAGATCTTAGCGTGGGACCATTAGTCAGCCATCTTTGCCCCTCTTAAGATAACCAGGGGTATAGATATAAGTAATATCTCTCATCTTGCTCTGCCATCCCCCGGAGAGAGCTTTGACTGCCTAGATGATATGCCTTAATTTTTGCATCTAATACCTTGTACAGACCATTATTTCAAAACTCACCAAATCTCTTTTGTATTAATTTTTGGTATTCTTACTAATTACTCACCAGCCTTTAGAGATCAACAGAGTTCAAGGTGCTGATTACTAGAATAGAGATAACCAGTGAGATTCATGGGATTCCTTAGGACTGCCACTTCCCTTTTGAGGCTCTGGGAAGAGTGGGATCAAGATAGATGTTCTAGAGGAAGTAACATCTGAGTTGACCCAGTTGAAAGAGATTAGGAAGAGCCATTCAGGTAGAGAACATAGAATGTGTAAAGGCTTGGAGAGAAAGAGAGGATGGCACTTTCAGAGAACTGTAAATTCAGATATAGAGTATAGTGATGTGTGGGGGGAGCATAAATGAGGCTGAACTAAACTGTCACAGGCCAGAACATAAAGTTCTTAATATGCCATGCTTAAGAGTTCTTGAAGGCTATGGATAATCTACAAAGAATTTAATGGAGGAATGTGACATGATCCTATATATATATAAATATTCCAAAGATCTTTTCAGTAGCCTTTAAGATAATGGATTGTTAGAGGCCAAGACAAGAAGCAGAGGCTGTTGCAATACTCTAAGCAAGAATGAGTATTTACTAATTACAGTGTCATTGAGAATGGAGAGAAGGGAGGATTCAAAAGAATGGTGGTTCAAGGAGCACGGAGACTGAGAGATGCTAGGTTACTATCTTAGGTAACGGAGAAAATAGTGCTGAAACTTAGAGTATAAATGACTGATGAAAAGGCCCTGCTCGATTTAGCAAGGACAGACTTTCAGAGGGGTGGTTAAAGAAAATGATGAGGTAAGGCCCCTGCATTTGATGGCCACTGGAGAATATGAAGAGTGACCTCAGTGAAATGAGGGGAAATGTCAGCCAAATTATAAGGGCTTCAAGGGATGAGGAAGTGGACAAATTAGGTGTAGACTAGCTTATCTTTAGGCTTTTGGCAGAGAGAGGAAGGTAAAACATGATGGCTGATGGAAGCAATAACAGAATAAAGAGAAGGTTATAATTAATTTTTAAAATTATAAATGAGATCTAAGCATGTTTGTAGACTAGAGGAAATGGAGAGGGAGAGATTGAAGACCAAAGAGGAATTAGAACAACTATAGAAACAAGAGCCTGGACAAGCTAGGAAGGGATGGAGATAATAATAAAAGGGATAGGTTTATTCTTGGGACAATGACTATGAATAAACCCTATTCTCTAAGATAGGAGGGAAGGAAAAGATCATATGAGAAGAATAAAAGGAATTTTATACAGAAAAGAGAGTGTGACTATAGAAGAGTTTTGAAGTGTGCAACAAATCAAAGAAGTACATGTGAACAGTGTCCACCTCCCTGGGGAC